ACGCACGCACGCACGCACGCACGCACGCACGCACGCACGCACGCACGCACGCACGAACGCACGTGTACGTGTCGCTGCTTTCATCGAGTGTTGAACGCAATCATATAAACGAAAATGAGGTTTATGCTAAGCACGCTCCTCAACAACCAGCAGCTACGATGGCGTAGTGGATTTACACTGGAATTCATCAACATTTGCGTACGCAGGTGCTACGCTGCGTTGATGAATCGCACCTACGAGCTTTGCGTACGTACTTCGTAGAAACTCTGTGTACGCAATACACTCTACGCAACGTAGATGAATCTCGCCCATCTGGTCACTGTTAGGTTCTTAGAGGGTGTCATTGTCTGTGCACAGTGTCGTGTATAAGTAACCGACAGTGAGTCAGATATACACAGACACGATAGCGACGCGACGGAAAAAGTAAAATAAATAATCAAAGCGATTCATGTACAAATCGTATGGCATTTCAAATTCAAATCTCCCAATCCATCTTCATATTGCCTTACGTTATGAACCGACTAAATTGCGCGCTATGCGTTCGAAGTAGCAAATAGCAGGTCGAGATCCGTGTGATTTGTATGAAACCTATATCTGCATTTACAGACGTAAACAACGATGGCGTGTTAGAACAGGCGGACTTCGAACAAACCGCTGAGGTAAGATAAATGTAATCTGTGATGACTTGTACGTGTGCACGCCCATTGAAAGATACGATATTGGATGATAATGATGATAGAATGTTTGATCATGATTATACTGTTACGAAATATGTCAAAACACTTTTGGCATTAACTATAAGTGACTAACAAAGTACACCAGAGATAGATCGACCAGCCGTCCGCCGAACGAGACGGCGGCCCGCCCTATCGCCCGCCCGACCGACCTAACTAGACAACAGCACAACACAACACAACACAACCCAACACAACACAACACAACACAACACAACACAACACAACACAACACAACACAACACAACACAACACAACACAACGCAACAACCCAACTCAACGCAACACAACTCAACACAACGCAACAACCCAACTCAACGCAACACAACTCAACACAACACAACTCAACACAACTCGCCTCTCACTCACACTTTGCATGTGCATAGATTCCGCAGCGTGAGTGGCTGGGCCGCTGGAAGCCCGGAGGCGACCAAAACACGAAAGGTCATTCTCGGACTATGGGAACGCCTGCGATCGAAGGCCGACAGCGATGGCGACGGCAAGGTGACCTTCCAGGAGTACCTGGCGGCGAGCGATGCAGGCACGACGACGGCATTCCGACAGGACTACCGCGATTTCTTCTTCAAAGTTATCGATGATACTGGTACGTCGTGAGAACAGGGAGAGAGGAACCAATGTACCGGAACAGAGACAAAGAAACCAATTTACGGGAACAGGGAGAGATAAACCAATTTACGGGAACAGGGAGAGATAAATCAATTTACGGGAACAGGGAGAGAAGGGAGAGTGAACTCGATGTACGGGAACAGGGAGAGAGAAACCAATGTACGGGACCAAGGAGATAAGGGAGAGAGAACTCGATGTACGGGAACAGGGAGAGAGAAAGCAATGTACGGGAACAGGAAGAGAGAAACTAATGTACGGGAATAAGGAGAGGAGAGAAACCAATTCACAGGAACTGGTAAAGAGAAGCCATGCTGATGAATAGGTAAAGAGGGGGAGAGGGGAATGATACATAGAGCAGAGGGGATGAAACAGAAGCAGAGACAGGAAAGAGCGCAAGCCGAAGAAGGAATACGGAAAGGGAGGGAGGAGGGGCAGCGATGTAGTAGATAAATCAGAGCACTGTTTGTGCTTTACCACGTACAGAGAGTCGCGGGCACGTACACGTACTACGCACGTACGTTTTAGTTGGTAGTTTCTATTAGTTCAATACACGCGGGTGGCTGACACTGTGGCGATTCTCCCCTTCCTCCTTCTCCACCAGCTTCTCCCCCTCCTCCTTCTCCACCAGCTTCTCCCCCTCCTCCTTCTCCACCAGCTTCTCCCTTTCCCCCTCCGCCTCCTTCCCCATCAGCTCCCTTCTCCCCCTCCTTCTCCCCTTCCTCCTTCTCCACCAGCTTCTCCCCTCCTTGTTCGTTTTCCGCACCAGGAACTGTATTGCAGTCTCGCAAACTAGCCAATCAGGAGCTAAATGCCTCGGGGAAGCGTAAAACCAAGTTTTACGCCCTAAAACTAGGTATTAAGAGCTTAAATCCGGGTTTTAGACTTTAAAACCTGGTTTTAGACCTGGGAAAGCGTAAAACCTAGTTTTAAGCCATAAAACCGGGCATTAAGACCTTAAATCCGGGTTTTAGACCTTAAAACCAGATTTTAAGGTCTAAAACTAGGTTTTATGCTTTTTGGTACAAAATGTTCCTACAAATGTACAAGTCACCAGGGCCAGGTCTAGCTTTCGAGAGACGAAAGGCGGGGTGATATTTGAGTGAAGGCGTGCGCCGAAGGCAAGTGGTGCTAGGGTGGCCCGATTTTACTAGTATCATAACACCTGAGTGAATAATAATAGGTTATCTATATTAATAATCTATTAATAATCTGTTATTATTCACTCCTGTTAACATTAGTCAGACTGTGGCTGAACGGGGGTGGAGAGGTTACTCTCTAGATCCGCCGCCAGTACGATCACAGCAATAACCAACTAGTTTTCTATTATCATTCATCAACGCGCGTACGCAAAATATGTTTCGTAAATCTTGTGTACGCAATCGACGTTGCTTATAGTTGCGATTCATCAACACAGCTATTTAGTAAATTTGCGTACGAGTTCGCGTACGCAAGCGAGGCCGTTTTAGGTGCGATTCATCAAGCTAAAATTTACGTAAACCTTTGCGTAACTTTACACGAGCTGAAGAGGTGCCGTAAACCACTCGAAAGTGTTTCCAGCATACCGCAGCATGCATTATTTTATTGAGAAAACAATATAAAATTACTACTCAACTAAAAATAAATAAATAATTACCATACTACACAGACAGGCGGCGCCTTTGACGCTTCTTTTGTCATAGCTTGGCATTGTTTTCGTTATAAGCGAGTTCGTAGTTAGCCGTGTACGTGCACACGCACGCACGCACGCACACGTGCACATGCACGCACGCACGCGTACGTGCACACGCACTACTCAACTAAAAATAAATAATTAATTACCATACTACACAGACAGGCGGCGTCTTTGACGCTTCTTTTGTCATAGCTTGGCATTGTTTTCGTTATAAGCGAGTTCGTAGTTAGCCGTGTACGTGCACACGCACGCACGCACATGTGCACATGCACGCACGCACGTGTACGTGCGCACGCACGCACGCACGTGTAAGTGCACATGCACGCACGCACGCACGCGTACGTGCACACGCACGCACACACGCACGCACGCACGTGTACGTACACACGCACGTACGCACGTGTACGGGCACACGCACGCCCGCACGCACGCACGCACGCACGTGCACACGCAC